ACCTACTCTGGTATGTGGTAGAGCACAGACAGCAAAAATAACACCTCTTTCATAATCTTTTCCTATATTGTGGTTTTGAGACAAACATCACGCCTTTTCTCCCACTCCTGTTCTAAGTGTCCTTATGTGTGTACCTTATTCTTGGAGCTGGTGCCTCTTGAGTGGAGAGATAACGAGTGTGATTCTACACACCTGAAATGATTGAAGGCTTTGCTGTGAGCTTTCATTTAAGTGGAATCAAGCACTAAACTCTACAGCTGTGAGCAGAAACCCACCAAACTATCCTCCTCTTCCCCAGGCAGCCTGGGCCTTGGTGGTGAGTAGGGACTTGCTCGTGTTTAGGGCCAGAGTGGCTGAGCTGGCCTGGACCCCAGGAATGCTGGCTGGGCTCCCCAGTGCAGGCTGTCATAGGTCCAGGTCACTTCCAGCTGGGACATGCTGTCCCTGACCCAGGCAATGGCAGGAGAAGGTGTGACAAGAGAGCAAGTGCCACGTAAGTATTGCTTCGTTATCTGCTCCAGAGGGTGAGCAGCAGGGGGGTGTAATGCTGCTGGAGGACACTCTGAGGAACCTGGTGGAAACTGCTAATTTTCATCTGTGTTTATCTGGAATTTCTGGTTTGGGATTATTTAGTCTAGAAAGTAAAGTTTTTACCATTTACATGCTGCAAAAAGGAGAGAAATAAACTTTTTCCACTGGCATGGTGGAAATAGCAAGAAATAATGGGCTTAAATTGTAGCAAGGAACAGACATTAGGAAAAACTTTTTTTAAATGGTAAGAATAGATAAGCAATGGCCTCAGTGGGGAGGTTACAAGTTCTGTCACTTTTTAAAAACATATTGTTCAAATGTGTTTTGGAAATGCTGTACATACTTCCTCTCTGTAAGAAAGGACAATGTCTGTTAATGTTTGCAGTTACTTCATGTCCTATTTTCTTGTCACTTTTCTTCAGTGTTATAGATGGGGAAAGTAGGTACAGAGGAACTAATTCCATGAGTGTCAAGCCAGTCTCCTTCCTTAAAAAAAAATCTCTTGTTTCCGATCTATTCTGCACAGAGTTACTTCCTAGATTTGGGCTTGGGTAAGGAATACCCCAAAAGAAAACCTACGCAAGCCTGGTCTGCCTGATGAGATTCTCTGTTTCTTCTTTTAGAGACTTTTATTTTAGCAGTATGTGTAGGATTTCTCAGTTTCAGGAAAATGTGAATTGTGAATTTTAATGTTACGGGGTGGCTCTGCAGAGGAAAGGGAAGACGCCTCACCTTTGCCATCTGTCTTGTGTCTGGAGCACTTTTAGGTAGCATCTAGCAATGTGGTTTAACCTCCTCTGCTGTAGGAGAAGTTGTCCTTCCCGTCTGTGCTCCCCCATTGCATCTTCAAGGGTAGATTCTTTGTCACATATTATAGAGAAGGGCAGTCTTTCTGGCTTTTGGAAATTCTGTGTAACATTTCAAGCTAAAATACTTTCACACAAAGATATTGGCACGTTGCTTATTGCATCAACCCCAGAAAAGTACATAGTGATACGTCTTGGGTGCATTTTTGAACAAACCTTGCTTGTAGCTCTGAGAACTTCCCCCTACATCCAATGAAAAGCTAAAATGGCTATGAATAAGTTAACACCTGAAAATATAGGTTTCTGTACATGGCTTACATAAACTGGAAGAGGAAATTTTTCACCATGTTTGAATTTCATGCATAAATCTCCTTGGGAAAAAGTTCCATCCCAGTGACAGAGAGTTTTAAACTAAAGTAAACATTTTTCTCTGCAAATGGCATATAAAAACCCTCATTCAAAATTACTAGACCAACACTGCATCTTTTTTCTTTTTTACACACAGTTATTCCCTTAGTTCTTGAGTAGACCACCGCCAGAAGCCTTTCTAGCAAAAAAAATTGTGATTTTTCTTTGTTTACTTCCAAAGCAACTGAGTCAGTAACTGCAATGAATAAACCAGTCTGACAGTGGTTGACATAACAATTCCCACCCTGTCCCTGTGTCCCCCCCGTCCCCCCCCCCAGGTTTCTTAGTTATTCTCTGATCATATCCAGAGTTATAAAAAAAAAAAAATTAAAAAGGCAAAATTTTAGCTTTTATTTAAAAAAAACAAAAACCAACCAACAAGCTCAAAACAAAATCCAAACCCCAGGATTTAGCCCACTGTAAGTAAATAGGGGCTTTTATTAATGCTGGTAGAATTATTTTACCAAAATGTAACATAAACCAAACCATGTTTAGATATTCTCTGCTTTTCCTCTGTGGTAATTCATCATAATGTATTAATATATATCACCTTTTCATACTATTAAGGCTCCGTACTGTGACTAATCTTATTCATTTTTACGCTCCCTGAAGGAGCCATTACCTTGTACTCTGCAAAAGAGCCTTTGATAAATGTCTCCACGGGGCAGGTTGACACAATCCGCCCTAATGGCTACTTGGAAGGTTTGGTGGTGTGTCCTGGGGCTGAGCTGTTTAATGGCTTATTTATGCCATGGACTGAGCTCACAGGACAGATCGTGCCGAGAGTCTGTGAAGTGGAATTTCAAGGGTATGTGAGAGCAGGCCGAGCCGTGATGGCCTTTGATGCAGTGACACATCCATTTGGAAGCTTCGGTGAAGTCTCTGTCCTGGCAGTTGACAGAAACGTGCTTGGGGAAAAAAAGGTGGAAAGAGGGAGTCCTGCATTCTTCATTTATCGTTCTTTGACAATAAGTGTGAGAGATATAAAGCACCATACATTTCCCTGAATCCCCTGAGACTTGGTGTCACAGCCCACCAAGGAAGATGCTCGGGTTCAGCATGGCTATGAAACTGCTTGGATTGGTACCAACCTGCATGTTGGTAGAAAAGTTATGTGAAATTAATAAAGCTATCAAGCACCAGGAAATCATGAAACTGTTTCCTATTTTCATATTTCTTGCAAATGACTTGAGCCAACTCAATTCACTACACTTCTCTTTAAAGTTCTACCCTCAGCTCAGAAAAACAATACTATTAGCACCTGTCAAAACTTCTATATTATTGCAGATCCGGAATTCTTGATGGCTTCTTTGAAGGCACGAGCTTTCTGTTTACACAAGGTCTTAGTATGCGTTTCCTCAGCCTGAATAATATATAAAAATATATATATGCAGGGCTCAAATGGCAAAAGGAATTTTAGTGCCCTTACAAACTTCACTAGTGTGATAAGTGTACTTAATCTGAATTATTTCCTTCCATTAATTCCTCAACTTGTTTTAATAGGTTTATGCAGAAATCCAAGACTCATCTAAGCAAACTTTACTAGTTGTCTAAGCCACTCCAAAACCAGATCTTAATTTGATTCTGTTGATATAACCTCTGACCTCCCTAAAGCAGATGGCAGAGTGTGTCACTCCTGGCATGCTGAAAATATAATTATTTCTCTGTTAACTTTGTGGCAAAGAAAAGGCTATGTATCAAATAATAAAGTTTTAGAAGAGAGAACAGTTGAACTTGGAAACTACCCCATTCACGTGATATTTTTGGTAACAAATCGTCAAAATCTTCAAAACATAATCACCTTTTTCTGAATATCATATCTTGTGGTATTCTCGCTGTCAGTTGCTAGAGTAAATGCTCTGCACTCACGTGGTGCTCTGGTTGTAGAATGAACCTCTCAATAGCCATTGGAAGCTTTTGTCTCTGCTACTGCTCTTCAGTGAAGCTCCTATTTTTGTCTTCATTGGTTTTAATTTTTAAAAGTGTTTCTACAGAGTTTCAACCTGAACTTGAGCTTTCAGCTCTCTTTAGGTCTTTATTCCAAGCCCTAATGAGATTCATAGATGGTTACATATGATGCATGTTCATCTTGAGATATATATATATATCTGGAATGTATGTAAATGAAAAAAAAAATCAAAAAAAATGGTAAAATATGAAGAATGAGAATATTTATATACTGGAATGTATGTAAATGAAAAAAAAAATTCAAAAAAAATGGTAAAATATGAAGAATGAGATTTTATTGCTGTCTACAGCTGCCAATGGGAGGTTATAAAGAAAGTGCAGCCAGATTCTTTAAGTCTTCTTTAAATTTTGCTGAATAATACCATCAGTCTAGAACTTCTGGCTGTAAAGACTTCTTACCAGGTAACTTTATGCAGTGAACTTATATTATGATGCAGCGTTTCCATAATGTTCAGTGATTAGAAGTTATCCCAGTTATATTATAAGCTGTTGTGTGAACTCTCTCCAGCTCTATATAGGATGCTGAAGCACAGCTTTGCACTGACCATGGTTGCTTCCAGAAAGAAATGGATGTGTAAATCTTGAGAAAGAGGGGAAAAACGGCTTTAAAATATATTCCTTGATATAGTTCTCCATCACTAAATTAAACTTCAATTTTTCCTCTATCACTAAATTAAACTTCAGTGACTTGCTAGGAAAGTATGTTCTTTTTATGTGCTCCCATAAATTGTGCATTTCAATGCTGTCTGTATCTTTTTTTATTATAGGGGAAGCAAAAAAAAAAAAAAATAAACATAGGCAATATTTCAGCTCCTGAAAACTAATTCTTGCAGACACTTAGGCTGTATAAGGTCTGAAAGTGAAATATTATTGTGACTTCAAGAGATAAAACTCAAATTCTGTTAAAATTGTTCCTTTAACAATGGGTATGAGCACATATTAAGAGCACTGATTAAACTTCGGCACGTCATCTTGCAGAAACAGAGGACCACAGGGCAAGTAAAGGTGACTGCCCTGTGTGGCTCTTCCTCCTGACTCCTCACTGGGAGTCTGAATAGTCTCCTGGGCTGCCACACGTGACACTGCCAGAGCCCTTTTGTGGCAACTGTGATACCAAGGAGTACTGTTTGTTACAAGATATGCCATTCCCTTGAAATTACTCATTAACAGTCTCAGTAGGTCAAAAATAGATAATTAGCTGGTTTTGTATAAGTTGTGTTTTTATAACTAATTTATACCCTTACTATTTTTCTTTGCAGGAGTTGAGAAATTAAACCCAGATCAAGTGTAAATCATTCTTCACAACTGTACCCAGCGAGTCCTTTTAGCTCGGCTGGCAGGATGCTTGCTTTGAGCTTCGGGTGACCAGCTCCTTCCTTCAGCGTTTTGCTGCGATGCAGATCTGCTCAGTACCAGGTATGTCCGTCTCCAAACCGCCGTCTGAGTCACTTTTCCTACAGTGATGGCTAAAAGGCTGTGTTGGCAGGGCAGCAGTGTGGGTGGCGGGATCTAGAGGCAGGTACGGGAAGCAGCTTCCTTTAATTCAGGTACTTTGGAGTACAGAGGGCAGAAATTCACACATCCTGAAATTTTTCCTATAATGTCTTTGTGTGCAGGAATGGCAGGAGGAGTAGGAAGGGCTGTCAGAGGGTGGGTGGAGGAACTGAACAGCACAGGTGCTAACCGGAATGACTCGGTGGCTGCGCTGCTGGTACAGTTTGAACGTGGGTTGGGATCTTATTGCTTATTAAGGTTTTAAAGCTTTGTTGGACAGTTTTTCCCGTGGGAATTTAGCAGAGGGATATAATCAGTAACAAATTCTGAACAGTTCAGATCTGAATCTCAAGGAATTGCAATTTGCTAGAAGTCTAATCCTTCTGTAGATGGTGCGTTTCAGCAGTTCGGTGAGATGAGCCCCCAATGCACTGACCTTGTGTTGAGCTCAGTGGCACTACCGTTTGCTAAGTGCTCCCAAAAATATGAATTGTGCATATAAATCTGCGATCTTTAGTCTTGTCTTTTTCTAACCTCATACAGTTTTGCGACGGACAAAAACAGTGAAGTGAAATGTATATCAAATACTGCTCAAGTAAAATGCGGTTTTGGTACTTCCGCCACTTTGCATCTGTAGCCTTGTTAAAACTGTTAATGATGACGTACCTAGAAGTGCTGTTTGGGGAACCAAATATGTTAAGTAAAAGGGGATGAAGAATTGATATCTCAGCAGGTACATTACTGTTTCTGTAAGTCTGCTATTCAAAGGGGGTTGACAATTTATATTAATTTCAAAAGTCTGCAGGTGCTCAGCTCCCTGTAAAGCTGGCTCTTGCTGAAGGCTTCTCAGCTCAACCATTCTGGAGGAAAATCTGGAATATGGAGTAATGATGAGTTTTGCAGAAAGTGTCTCCAGACCTCAGAAAGCATACATTTTTAACCAAAATTATTTGCCGGAGGTGGTAGAGCAGTTGTAGAGTTTTCTGCCAAAATTTTGGGGTTTTTTCAAACACATAATAAAAGTCTGTTCTGTGTAGGTTTTTCTTTTCTTTTTCTCATAGAAGTTTCAGTTATTCAAGGTGAAAAAAACCTTTCTCTCAACCAGCTCTATCTTCACAATATTAAATAAAAGCATGCCTTTGACTTATGAGAATAACAGCAAATGAATAGATTCTGGCTGCTGCAAACATTTTTGTGGCTGCATGTTCTACTTCTGAAAAATGAGCTTTTAATGAGAGATAGAACTCTTAAATTATGGCAGACTGTTGAAAAGTAAAAGATAAGAACACAGCTCTTCCTTGCACAGACTCTGCTGAAAATGAGGTGACTATCTTAAGTTTCACTGAGGCTAACACTTTCTCCAGAACACTGACTGGGGTGTCTAATATTCGTTCTCTCTCTCTAGCCCCAAAATATAAATGCAAGTTAGAGATGAGGCGTAAAGGATCTTTTTTGACAAGTTGACTCTAAACAGTTTAGTGGAGCTGCCATGGTGCTAAAGAAAAGGTGGGACCCAGAAACTTATATGGGAAAGAAAATAAGAAGTTAAAATTATTTTCTTTGGGGGAGTGAAAGCTAGAACATTTTTCCTTTAATATTTCATATATATATATTGTACAACTTGTGTTTTACAGTTCCTGAATCTCCCAGATCTGTGTAGGTGTATGTATTTTCTGATCATCTGATAGGATTTTTCCTTTCAGACTAAGATAAGTCTAATTAGACCTGGAGGCCACATCTGCTTCATGCCCAGGGTGTGATAGCACTCGTGATTATTTAGGAGCACAGACCGTCTGCCACGTAACCACCGCAGCCTGATTTAATTCAGTAAATGTTGCATGATCAGACTTTACCCTAATTAGCAGTGTCTTGTGATTTATTTCCCTTACTCCCACGTACTATCAGAATTGCAGCAAAGAGCAGTATAGAATTTTGTGCATGCAGTGATTTGTTCTAGAAGACTATTTTCCCATGACAGGTTGTATCAGCTGAATACTTGCCGGAGCTCATTACCTTTTGGTAGCAAAACTATTAAACTTTGCTTTTTCCTTGTTGTTCTGAGGTTCTACAAATTATAATTAAACTATTAATTATTGTAGCTACTTAAGTGTGACAAATTAAGTTGACTATATGGCAAAGTCACTTGGTACCCTTGAGGAGTGCAGCCATGGTTTAAAGATATTGCACTGAAAAGGGAATGTTTAACAACAAACTCCATCCTCTGGTGAAACTGTGATTAAAAACTACTTGCTTCACGCTGTGCAAGGCCTGCACGTAACCTCTCCCTCCTCTTCCCTCTGCTTGCCTACCTTGCCTTACTCCTCTGATTTCATGCTGGCAAGTCAGGAAAAGTGACTTCAGTGAATTTATTTTTTTTTTCTTTATGGTTCCGTTCTCTCCATGACCAAGACTGTCTGTCTTAGTGTTAGTCTAAATTTGGGTTTCCATCAGCAAAATCTGTTTTCCTTTTGGATAACATTTTTCTGAATCTAGAACTCATGAAATTTTAAGCCTGGTTGTCTTAAACCAAGCAGTGTCATTATAGGTGTAATAATGATTCACCATCCCCAGAAAGCGCTAATATAAACATCTGTCTGTTAATGAATTGTTTGGCTGAGTCACAAACTTACCAGAAAAGATGTGAATCCTTTTGGATTTGGTTGAGTAATTGAGGTCTTTGTTCACTGAACAACCCTTACTTTGTTTTTTGCATGTCAGAAGTCCAAGTGATGCCTTCAAGGAAATGAATAGTCTGGCATGATATGGCGGTGGGATGGAGTGTTTGCTGAACCGCCTAATATTTACATAAAAACAAAACAAATAATTACAGAAAACACATTAAAGGGAAGCAGAGAGCATACCATTAGGCTGTCAGTTGACCAGTACAGGTCTGGGTGGGAGCGTGTGTGGGTGAAGGGAATAATCTGTTCTTTTTTCCCAGTGTTTCAGGCACTGTGGTTACACATCACAACCTCCTTAAGCAGTCCGAAGTTATAATCTTTTTTTTTAAACAGTGTTTAGGACCCTTCTTTGATCAACTGTAAGAGTAGGGGTTTTGTGTTTTTTGGCAACAATGAGGGCATTCAAACAATGGTTTTAACAGAAGGATACCCAGAAATGGGAGACAATCTGGACCCAAGGTGTGTCCCCTCCCATGGCTGCAGTGTGGGGGGCACGGGTTGGCTGTGCCGTGGGTGACAGTGGGACCCCACGGCAGGAGCTGGTTGCTGGAACCATGGGACAGTACGTTCTCCTGACCTGCACTGGAGGGAAAGCTCAAAGCCAGGGTGTGGGGGAAGCTCCACGTGCCCACAAGAGTGTCCCTGGGACTGATACCTTATGTGTGCTGGTACCACTCCCAAAAGTGGGGTGTTTGGGTTAGGTGTTGTGTCTGCCTGCACCTCCAGCACGGGCGGGCTGTTCGTTACCTGCGCACACTCCTTATGCTTCACCTTTTAGAAAATCTCTGGGTTTAGATATCCGCACAGTGTGACATCCATAACTGTAATCTTATACAAACTTCGGTGTTGATTTAGTTCTGTTGGATAAACTGATGCTAAACTGAATTTACTTAAATGTGTGGAATAAGTTATTTCAAACACATAGACGTTACTTACTTGCTCATCCATACAGTTCCATTGAAGGATGCAGGGGATCCAATTCTCTTCTCACAGAAGCAGTAGCAAATTAGAATAACTCCGTTTAAAGCTTTGGAATAAATAAATTTAGCATAAATAAATCCCCAGGCCAGAAATACATCTCTGAAACCCGAGCTCATTCTTTCTTTTCCTTGTTTAAAATAAAATTAAGCAAATGGTTGAATGCCTTCCTGAATCAGGGCCGAAGACTGAAGTCTGATCCTTCTAAGCCACTTGCTTAAGCTGGGGTGGCAGTGGAATGCCACGCTGCGTTTTCAAGGTGGGAAGTCTATTATAAAAATGGAACAAAATAATTCTTTTCACTTTTATTTTCCTTTTTAATTTGCTGTAGACATTTCCCTATAACATTCTTAGCATATGTGTATGTACAGAAGTGAATGTTTATATCTGTCATCCTATGTAGCAAGAACAGGCTTTTATTCTTGAGGGGATCTGACATCTTCTAGGAAACCTGACTGGCAAAAGTAGCAAGTAGTAATAAACCAGAAGGAATCTTTGTAATCTCAAGATTAATGGATAAAATGTTTATGCTGAGGGTTCTCTTCATCAACAAACTGCTGTTTCCACCTATTTGCATTTTAATGGTTACCCTAGTTCTGAAGTTAAAATTACAGACTTTTCCCAGCTGCTCTTTAAATGCTACATTATAATTTTGAGGAAGCATCATACGTAATTATATTTAATAGACACTGAATTGATTGAAACACTTAACAAAAACAAAAAGCCCAGACCTAATTTTGTAAACATGTTATTGTACAGTAACCCCCAATGAGTTTGTTCTTAAATCTCCTAATTAATTTTTAATTAAAAAGCTCAAAGATGCTATTATACTTCTTGTAGTAAATGGCAGCCTTATGTAAGCATAAACGACTTAGCTGCTCAGACAAATATCTTCCATTAAAATCCGTGTTAATGAGAACTCCTGAACACAGTATTTCAGAGATTTAAACAGTGGCAGCACTAAAATAGTCTAAATATCACATGGGGGTTTGTTCTTTTCTCTTCCTCCTTTCTTTTTGGTCTGAGAGATGGGTTTGTACAGAACATAATAGATTTGTGCATAACAAGCTGTCCGAATTCCCACTTAAGCGCATCAATCCTCTCCCCATTGCTCCTACCAGAATATACATAGCATTCACTGGAAGCCATAGGGCTGATCCAACTCATCTCTACACACGTGGGGGCAAACGGACACCAGATAGTAAACTCATATGCACATTTGCTTCATTAAATAGAGGAAGGCTCCTTTTATTAATGAAAGGC